TAACAGTGCGAGTTTGTAATTTCGTGCAAATTAAAAACAAATGGCAAAAAAATTAACATGTTCATATACGTAAAATGTCAGATAATTTAATGCTATCTCTCGTATAGCCCAACCACATGTTCTTTATTTTCTTTATATTTTATGTTGCCTATCTCAAATCTTTTTTTATTGACAGAAAAAAAAAGAGATCCGTAAATCGGATGTCTTTAAGCTGTTTGCACAATATACAATAATGGTTAAAGATATACTATTATTATAAAGAATATATCAAAATCTAAGCATTTATAAATAATTCTTAATATATTTTATATCCAACTTTTGAAACATTAAAATATAAACGTAATGAGTCCAAAAATAACCCCCCAAAAACAAATTTTAGTGAATGTCGGAATCCATAATTCAGATCCTAAAGAATTATGAGACCCAATTTGTTCGTGTGTGATATTTTGACCTTCTGGAGGATCTTTTAATTCGATTGAAAATGGACCATAAAGTCCACCCAAAGGGACACTAGATCCAAAGATACCTGATCTAGACATTGTTTCTACTCGAATATAGAAATCTGATGAATTCGAAATCCTTGGATGATTTAAGTAAGGTACTTTCCTGTTATTTGAAAGCAAAGGTATAATAATGTTAGAAAGAGATTATCATTAATAAAAAGTGAATAATAAAAATACTTTTCATACCAATCGTAGTTATTAGTAATATTTGTTAAATCCGACGCGATCCTATCATAAATATCAAACTAAGTATGTTTCGAACTATTCATCAAAAATAAATTATCATATTATCTTTATAGTGATATAGTGATTTACTTACGGCATAGGACCCCAATCGTACATTATCTAAAATGGATTAAAACGTTATAACCGTATAAACGATAAAATTTACAGAAATAAATAAATAAAAAAAATAAATATGCAAACTTTTCCATTTTGAGAATAATCACGTTTCTTTGCGTCAGGTACAAGTTTCAAACTATTGAATAATAAAATAGCAAAGTTTCCAACTATTCGAGCTTCCATTTGACATGGAGATTGATTCCAAGAAATTCGTTGTATAGTTTCAGGTTCTACTACCGTTTTGTTTGATGGACCACTATTTAAATATCATTCATTCATTCATTTGATTATATCACTAATAAAATATAGAAAGTTTTTCTTCTAATAAAAATAGAGAATTCATGTACCTAACTTCAATGCAAGCCTTTTCTTTTATCTGCCAAGGAGTTTTTTTTATACTCGAGGTAGCTTGGTCATTATTATTATTATTATTATTATTATTAAATTTTGGGAGAGTATTTGGACTTCCGGAAGATGGAGCTTTACTTCCAACATCAGGTGACTTTATCGTTTTTGGGCTCATTGGTTTGGAAGTTTCCGATGGAATTGACGGAATTGATGATTTTAAATTTGAATTAGATTCTGGAGAAGGCGAAAAGAGTGGAAATGGAGGATCCGATTTTGGGGAATTTGTAAAAGCATCATCGCCAGTTGGTGGTGACCCGAAAGATGGAATTCCGGCGGGGATGGCTGTCTGAGATAAACAACGAGTTATAAACATTATTATTAGAAACAGGAAAACTGAAAGATTTTCCTTTTCAAATAGACGCATATTGGAGATTACGTTGTTGTTGTAAATTGGATATATATAAATCGTGTTATAAGAATTATGATTGAAGGACGCACATATAAATAAAACTTTATTAAGATTTCTTTCTATTTTCATATTTATGTCTTATCGTTTATATATATATAGTTCAAAACTTGAATCAGACTGAAACGCTTGATGCCAAGAACATTTTAAGTTGATCATTTAAAAAGTTTTTCATGACTAGTGATATAAATAATATTTAAGAAAAAATCATCTCTGATTTTATTTTTTAATTAATTAATTAATTTATTTATTTTTAATCAGAATAAAATATAATAAGCTTTTTCGACATCTATCCTCAAAATCTGTTAAAACTGCTTTTTGACAAATTATAATTTTTTTTCCTTCGTAAAAATCCCATGAACGTTG